CATTCTTCGAAGTATGATGCCAACTATCGTTTTGTTACGTGCTGTCGTCTTCGAGGCCAGATCCTGCGATCTACCTGGAAGCAGCTGGGCGCTCAGCAGCCTATCCGGGTGCAATGAAATCCTCTGTGGAAAGTAGCCGCAAGTATGTATTAAAAGTTCGCAGACGCGAATGTCTTGCCTAATTAGTTTGCAATATTACATAATATTACCAAACAAGGGGTATAGGCTACACCGACGAAAATCGAAACTGGTGCTAGAAGCAGGGAAGGTATGCCTGGCTTTGAATTCTCAAGTTCTGACAAGGCTCGGCGGCTCGGAGTAGATCCTTCCCGATGTCGTGCCTACGAGGTGTCATTGAATGCTTGGTTTTCACTGGGTGCGGCCTTGGCTGTTCATGTATATGCATGTACACTCATGCGTGCTCGTCAGACTTCTTTGGGATCCGCATGGCCATTTTCATGTGGCACAACGGCTTTGAATGTGGTGGTGCAGTTGGAGAGTTGTAGGGTAGCACATTCTGTGCGAATGAACATGCGTCGGTGCAGCTCGTGCCCGCCGAAGCGTGGGGCTCGAGCTGTACCAGATTTCTTTGTAGGAGCCAGGGCTGATGGCATCCTGCAGTGAGGCGGAGCTCTTGTGCGCCGTTCAGGTGCTCGATGATATGGCTTCTGGGTGTGGCCGTGACTTCGGCGTCTATGAAATCTTCGACGCAGCATTCGAGGAGGTGCGACATACTTTGCTCGAGGTCTGGGCTCGAGCTTCGCCACGAGAGTGTCGGGCCTTGGCTCCTTTCTTGGATTTACTGACTTCTCTTAAGCTGAACCGATCGCATACGGTCCGCACCGCAGTCCCTACCCCAGGCAGCCTCGAGCCTAGTGAGGCTATTGCGGGGGTTGCTGAGGCCGTCTTTGATCTTCGTTTCAGGTCCAAGTGGTTGTTGGCTCTTGTCCCGAATTTCGGGGGGGCCCGCTTCAGTCTGCAGACCATCCTCGCAGCGAGGACAGGACAGCTTTTGCTTTAGCCACCTCAGCGGTGGATGTCTGCCTCAGCCTTGCATGTCGCACGAGTCAGCACCCTTTATGCCCGTCACAGTTTTGGGCTCATGGCAGCTCCCTTCTGGGAGGCCCTTAGGGCCAAGGGGCTGGCCGAGTATGCCCCCGCCTTTGTGGATTGCAGGGTCTTCTCTCTTGAGGACTTGACGGCTAGGGCAGACGAAGTGGCACGCTCGGGGGTCCCAAGGTGGGCCATAGAATTGGCCGTCCAAGGTCAGGGGCCAACAGTCCCACAGACCGAGTTCGAGGCGTCCCGCAGGAGGGGCATCCCTGCGACCCCGAGGCACCAGAAGGCCTCTTCAGCTCAGGCCTTTGAGGCCGCCAGACCAGAGAACCGTCAGGCTGCACTTCTGGCTCTGGAGTCGGGAACCCTCGCCAGCACGACCAGGATGTCGAACGACTCCAGGGTGAGATTTTATGAGCAGATCTGCGCGGCATGGAATGTGCAGCCTTGGCCGATCACGGTCACGTCTCTCAGGAGCTTCGGAGCCAGCTTGAAGGCAGGTTCGTACCGCTGTGCCTCGGTTTACTTTTCTGCAGTGACTGCGCACCAAGTCCGTCATCTTGGGGTACAGGTGGAGGAAGTGATCCGACAATGCATCAAGGACACTCGTAGGTCTGTGTCCAGGGGCGCAGGCATGGCAGCCCTCAAGGCAAGCTTCCCTGTGGGATGCTTGGTGGTGCTGGTTGTGTACCAGCCACCGCCGTTCGATCTGGAGGACACCCATTGCACTGGGGACATGATGATAATCATGTCGTGGTGGATGCTCAGAGAGCTGGAGTCGGCATCAGCGATGTTCAGCCACCTCTGTCTGAATTGGGAGCGCATGGAGGCCACGCTATGGATCCCGGTCAGCAAGACGGACATTCGCGGCTCCATGGTTTCTCGAACGTTGGCATGTGCATGCAAGGTCTTGAAGCAGAAGCTCTGTCCTTTTCACGCGTGTCAAAGGCACCGGTCAAGTTGCTCCTGGATGAAGCTGGCCGCCAGGATGGCCCACTCTTCCCGGCCAACACCGACCTCGAGGTCCCCACCAAGACGCAGATGGTCGCGGCCATGCGGAGAACTCTGGGAGCCTGTGGCCTGCAGTTGCATCACACCCTGAAAAAACGGGCGCCAGATCCAGAAGTACGGTGGGCACTGCGCTAGGGTTTCCGGGGCTCAGTGGCTTCACACGATGGGGCTGCCACTTCACATGATTCAGGCCTTGGGCCGCTGGTCGTCTCAGGCAGTGCTCAGATATACTCAGGAAAGCCCGCTTCAGGTGTTACCACAAGCGGCTTCGGCGGCCCTGCTTCAGAGTGGGAACGCCCTGCCGGACCCGAAGCCAGTCTTGCACGCGGCAGCCTTGCAGGACCAGACCGCCGAGGAGGTGAGTCAGCCAGTTGAGCGCAAGCGGCTGCCATCCCCAGAGGGCGGGACGGGCAGCAAGCCAGAAGGGGATCAGGCGCAGACTGATTTCCTGGTCGTGGACTCTGAAGCTCAGGGAAGCTCGGACAAGGATCTCGCTGCAACGGTCGCAGCCTTGCAATCAGATGTGACTACGCTGCGCGCGGCGGTGCATCAAGTACAATCCGTTGAGACCTTTATCGTGCAAGGCAGGAGCCGGAAACATCATCGTCCGGTGGTCTGTGAACAAGCGAATCATCCGTCCACCTGGCGAACTGCCTGCGGGTGGCCCTATGGGGCAGCGAGCTTTCATCGAACTTTTGGTCTGAGCCAGGCTGCCAATCTTTGCAGACGTTGTTTTCCTGATGAGGCCGTCGTTGATAGCAGTTCGTCTAGCTCGGGCAGTAGCAGTAGCTCCTCGTCGAGCGAGTCTGACCAGTGAGCAGAAACCTGGGCTGGTGACAAATAAGTTTGGGGCCGGGCTTGTTTCGTTGGATTGTGCTCTCTTGCTTCAGGGTCAGCTTTGCCTAGGGCCCTTAGCATTCCCCCGCCCTAACCTCCTCTGCTCGTTTGACCTTTGCCTGTCAGGAGATCCACATCACCGACTTCGATCACAGCGTCATGGGACGAGAAATCCAGGACTTCTGGCACAGCTTGCTGCTTGCGGACACGGTGAGGGAGTCGGCACTTTTTGTTGACACGCTTGATTAGGACACAAGTATTCTTCTCAACTTTGCCGGGTCCCCACTTCCCCTTGACATAGTTTTGCACGTACTTTGATTTACTGCAGGCCGGGACCCAGCGGGCGGTCACCGAGCCGATTAGTGTCCCGGGCTTGGCACGCGTGAGTGCTTCAAGCGACATGGGATATAACCTTCTGAGTGGGGACCCGTTGCACCCAGCTGGTGGGCAACAGAGGTCGGAGGCCAGGACGGCCCCAGATATTCCTCAGTGAGGACCTCAGAACGCAGGCATGAAAACATTGTTCCCAAGCCTGTGCCATTCACTTGCATAGCGTCAGCGTACATGTGGACAGCACCTTCACGGGTCAGCTTGAGCACGGCAAGCGGGGGTTGCGTGCAGTTTTGGGGCTCAGGGCCTGACTTGTTAAGCCAATTTGGAGTTGCCAGTCATGGCCTTGCCAACGCTGGAGGAACTGGGGACCAAAGCTGGAGCAGGCAAAATAGTCATGGAATACTTGCAGGCACGTGGGATCTTGTCCACAGGCACCCTGGCATCAACTGGCAAGGATTTCGAGTCAGCGATCATCCAGCCTTTGATTGCCGGACACGAGGTGGCCGGACGGAAGTTTGCCCTGGAACAGGACGACCAGCCGATCGCCCGTGCCGTGCTGAAATACATGTTCAATATGGCATGTGAAGCCATGCAGCCTGCCAAGCAGAACCCTTCGAATACTTCCTCGCCAGCAGCTTCAACATCACCTTCGGGAACAGCCAAAGCACAGGCCTCAGACAAGCCTCCCAAGACATTGCCGCCAAATGTTTGGACAGAGGCGATCCGCAAATACAACAGCGTGTGTCTTGCAGGAGTTTTTTCAGGGAGTTCCCGGAGCGAATGTTGATTGGATCTGAATCCATATTAGCCAGAGTCCACTGGGAGCACACGTGTTCGAAGTTGTATTCTCCAATCGAACTAGGAGAACTGCTGAGTAAACGATCCTTTACTGCAACAGGAGAAGTCAATATGTTGGCTACTCGCAAACGCAAAGCACGATTGGAGTTCAACGAGGACGACGTGCTCGAAGCTGCCGAGCCAGAACCATGGGAACCCAGGAGCCCGTGGTTCATCACCGACGGCTTGGACTCCATCCGCTGGTGCTACATCCTCTTTGAAATCGGGGAGGAGCGCCAGGTCCACAAGTTCTTTGACGAGATGATCCGGCGAGTTCGGTCCAAGTCCCATCGCCTCGAACAATTTCGTGAGTATTACTCAGCTGCCAGCTGGACAATGTGCATGATGCTCAGAACCAGCAAGACGTTCCAGGAGGCATCGGACTTCGTCTTGCAGGACATGGCGACTTGGAACGAGCACATGGCCACCTAAGGACATCAAGCCCCCGAGCAAACGAGAGCAGGATCCCAGCCGCGGAGGCCGGGGACGTGGCAGGGGCAAGCAACCAGACACTATCAACAGTGACAATGGCAGCAGTGGCAGCAGGACAAGTGGCAGTACAGCAGCAAGCAGAAGTCCACTCCGTGGAAGGCCAAGGCCGCCAATGCAGCCGAGTAGGGACAGCACGGGGCCTTGTTCGTGGACAGGGTGCCCGGCCTCAGCTCGCACAGTGATAGCTCGCCCCTTCATCCCAGCCGTGATCACAGCAAGGCCGTCCGTGCAGTTCAGAGTCGGGAGCAGGAGGCTGCACCACCGCAGGCAGCCCCCAAGAAGGGCGCGGCGTCCGCTGCGACTTCGGGCAGCCAGGCTCTGGGATCAAGTCAGAGAGATGGCGGGGCACTGAACTGGTTCCCGCTCAGAGGCTCTTCGGCTTCTCCAGTGCCAGGACTCAAGGACTGCCCCGGCTTCTCAGCTTCTTCGACGGCATGGGGTCAGCGGCTCTTATCCTGGAATTTTTGGGGGTCGGCATACGGGCCAGCCTGGAGTGGGAAATAGATCCCGCAGCTTTGCAGGTGTCTTCGAAGTCATCCACACCCAGCCGCAGGCCCAGAGGCGACTTCCTGCAGGAAGACGCACAGGCGCTGGTGCGGGAGCTGCATGCTTTGCAGGGTGACCGCAAGTGCATTGTGCTGGCCACGGCGGGACCGCCTTGCCCGGACTACTCACCGATCAAGGGTGATGACGCTCCGGGCCGGGGAGGCAGCTCAGGCAAGCTCTTCGTTAAGTTTGTTGATTTCCTGGCCGAGGTCGAGCAGGCATGGCCAACCCTTCGCCATTTTGGTTGAGAACGTGGTCATGCAGTCGGCCTCCGATGCAGCTTGGTTTTCCCAACGTCTCAAGGCCACGCCCGTCCTGGCAGACGCAGCTGACTTCCGCTTGGTGAGCAGGCCGAGGTTGTGGTGGACACGGCTGGACTGGACTGCTTGTACTATTCTCGGCTACGCCCTCGAGTGCACATGGATGAGGCCGATCAGATAGCCATGAAGGGCTTGAAGTTTCACAAGGACGTGATCCAACATCGCAAACTCATCCCATGCCTTACCACACCTGCACCTTCTGATTCTGGAAGAGATCCGCCACGCAAGATGCGTGGTCACATCGCACCGGAAGTTCGGCAACGCTGGCTGGAGCACCAGAGGCAGTACGCGCCGTGGGTGTACCAGGATCACGCCTTAGTGTATGAGGAGTCCGGAGCTTGGCAAGTTGTCCCAGCGGAGGTCAAGGAAGCTCTGCGCCATTATCCTCCAGGCATCACCGTTGCACCCAAGGTCACTCCGAGGGATAGACATCGCTTGCTTGGCAATTCATGGCACATCGGCATAGCTAGGTACTTGCTTGCTCTTGTGTTGCTTCAGTGCACTTGACCGGCGCAATCTGCCGCTCACCGTTTTCGAGATGAGCCCTTCCGTGTATGGGAGGCCAAGGATTTCATGGAAGCGGCATGCCGCCGTCAGATTCCTGTGGCCCGTCATTTGCAGGATCAGGGCTCTGTCCACATCAGACCGTGCGACAACATGTGGGAGCACTGGCAAATCACCCAGGACCTGCAACATCCTTTGATCAGCCCTCCAAAGCTTTCAGATGCGTTGGAGGCCACACTTGAGGGCATGCGCAGCATAGGCCCGAACATTTCAGAATTTCGCGTCAGGGCTGTTGCAGCAGTGCGCTCCCTTAAAGAGAGCATGAGCGAAGCCACAGCTGAGTGGTACAAATCCTTGCCTTGCCATGTTGCAGCAGCTTACACATTCGATGAGAGTAAGCAGATCGTGCAGATTCCCTCGTTCATGCGCTTGCTCCGAGGTTGTGGCTATCCCGACGCAGATAGCTTGGAGGAGGATTTGCACAGAGGTTTCCCTCTCATTGGTCAGCTCAAGCACTCGCCAGGTTGGCATCCTAGGACAGACGACCTGTACCGTCACCCCATTTCTGAGGACTCGTTTGCCTTGCTGAATCAGGCTCACGTCCAGCAGAGAGCTCAGCGATGCAGGCCGGATGAACACTGGCAGGCCATGCTCAGTGAAGTACTGTACTGGAGGAGTGCATTCAAGGTCGCATGGAGGGCCCTTTCCAGGCCCCAGCTGAGTGGGGGTTCCGATCAGTGACACCGCGTAATCAACCATTATTTCAGAGGCTGTTGCCCCTGCCTGAGGGTCCACACTATGGAGCTTTCGCTTTCAGCGTTTGTCAGGAGGGAAGTGATGGCAAGCAGAAAATCCGCAGATGTGAGGACTACCGTCGGAGTTATCACAACGACACCATAGGAGCGACCGACAAACCTCCTCATGATTGTGTGGATGCATATGTCAACCTCATCCGCACGTTCTCGCTGAGGTCCGACAGAGTCCTCATTTGGGGGCAGGACATGTGGGCGGCGTACCGCCAATACCCAACAGAACATCCTGGGCACGCGTACCTACTGCTGGTACTTCCCTGGGGGGTATCAGTTTGGCGGCACAGAGTATTAACTTTCGGGGCCACGGCCTCAGTGTGGCACTTCAACCGCACTGAAGATGCCATAATCTGGCTGGCACGATGCTTGCTATTGATACCAGCTTTGCATTTTGTGGATGACGTGGGGGGCGCCGAACCTGACTCCTCGGCCAATTCCGCATGTGTTTGCTTTCGGGAGTTCTGTGATGTTTTAGGCATTAGGGTGAAACCTTCCAAAGAACAGCTCCCAGCCGCTCTGCAGAAGATTCTGGGTGTTTGGCTGGCCAGCGACGGGGAGACACTTCAGGTCAGGCCGGATGAGGGGCGGCGAAACCGGATGATCCAGCTCATCCGCGACATCCTGCAGGCGGACAGTTTGACTCCAGAGTTGGCGGCGCGACTGGCTGGCAAGCTCGGCTTTCTTCAAACCTCGCTGTTCGGCAGCATGGGCAAGGCGTGCTTGGTGCCCGTAAACGCCCGTGCGTCTGGTGGGGCGCAGCAGGCCAATACACTGAACCAGGCCATTCGAGCGGCCTTGACGACGCTGCTGCGAATCCTGCACGAACCGCTGGTTCTTGAAATCCCTCTGCGAGCCGGTGAGCGCAGTTCCTCAATCGTGTACGCAGACGCGTTTTTCTTGCTGGGGGACCAGATGCAGAGACCTGGTGGCAAGCCTCAAGGTCGTTGGCCGAACAAAGGTGCACAACAACTCCAGAACGGCTGGGGCTTTGTGGTCAGAAGCAGTCTCGGAGTGACGTTCGCCCATGGTCAGGTTCCAGCTGAGGTAGTGTCTCTCTACAGCTCGCGGAAAGCTTTTATTTACTTTCTTGAAATTCACGCACAAGTGCTTGCTGGACCAACCAAGACTCCTTGGGTCCTTTTTGGGTCAGCTTCATTGATAACCAGGCTGGGCGTAGCGCTCTTCTAAAAGGGTTTAGCAAAGAACCTGCAGTCAACAACCTGCTCGCCTTCTTCTGGACTCTAGCAGCCAAGTTGCGGTGGCAGGGGGTCTTCCAATACGTCCCCAGCGAGTGCAACATTTCAGACCCCGTGTCTCGGGGCGACCTCGAGACAGCAAAGCGGCAAGGATGGTTCCAGCTTCAGAGCAGTTTGGACGACTGGTAGAGGCTGATGGTGCTGATCGCTCAGGACATGGTGTTCGCCACAGGGGAGGCAGTCCACCGCGCCCTGGCCGTGACATGGCGCTTCGGACCGTCAAGCTGAAGCACTCGCACTGGCGGGGAGCGCGGCCGGATTGGCTGCAGCCCGATCCCCCTTTGGAGGCGGAGGTCAGATGACTCGGGAAAGGCATTCGAGAAAGACCACTCCATTGTGAAAAGAGAGCGGTCGCTGATTAGTGCTGCCTAGAAGCATGTTGGGTAGCACATTCTGTGCGAATGAACATGCGTCGGTGCAGCTCGTGCCCGCCGAAGCGTGGGGCTCGAGCTGTACCAGATTTCTTTGTACCCACCCGCTTCCACCCTGTTTTCCTTTCCTTTGGAGCTGGGTCTGTACGTAGAGTCTCTCCTCTCCATAGGGGCGTGCAGCCGGATTGGCTGCAGCCCGATCCCCCTTTGGAGGCGGAGGTCAGATGACTCGGGAAAGGCATTCGAGAAAGACCACTCCATTGTGAAAAGAGAGCGGTCGCTGATTAGTGCTGCCTAGAAGCATGTTGTGGCTCCAGCTGGTCCAAGCCGTCTGTTTCTTGGCATCATCTTTCCACGCGTGGCATCGTAAAGCGGAGCAAGTCCTGTCGCAGACCCTTTGATGAACTTTCTCGCTGGACGAGTTTAAATGCTTCCTGCGCTGTATGGGCTGTACGCACTTGTCATTGAGCCCCCGCCTCCATGTGGAGCAAGTCAAACAATGAAAAGGTGGTGACCCAAGGGGTTACTTTTCAGCCAGGATGGCGAGAGCGGCTTGCGTTCTGCGTGGGCGGCCGGGATGGAGGTGGCCGTTGACTGAGATGTTTCATTGCACAGGCAATTCCATGAGATGGCTAGCGGGTATGCCTCGAGGTGTAGGCTAAAGCTCAGGTTGATGTGACTTTCATGGGCGACTACCCTGCTCCAGAAGCGCTGCGAAAGGCAAGCTGCTTCGATTCTTGATTGTGTTCCTCGGACACCCATGAGTTTTATCCTTTGTGGGAGCTTTTCGCACTGTAGCACGGAAAAAGCTGGCCATCACTTTGATGCGTGTTGCCAGGCGAAGGAGGACCAGATCCGAGAGAGGAAGTGGCTGACGCCTGACACTGGGCCATGAAGCACGACACTCGTATCCTCGTATCACCACAGAAACCTGGGTAGCTTATTAGCTTCACATACAAAGTGTAGTCTACAGATCCGGGTGTAAGCTTTCCAGCTTGACTTCGGATCTGCAGGAATCCATTACACTCCCCCTTAAGTAGATAGAATATGGCCTTGGGTATATTATAATAAGATCCCCATATACCCGATATTCTATCTACTTAAGGGGGACTACACATAGGGAGTGGGGAGCTTCCTTGACTGCCGAAAAAGCTCAGATGACGATTCTTTGCTCGCCGGCGCCCATCATGTCTTGAAGAGATCCTGAATGCCTCGATCATACTTTGAGTTGTCAGTATATATTGGGGTTATAATGGGATAATGGAAAATAAAATGGAAACTACTATACTATAATAGGGTATATATTGGGGTTAAATTATTGAGTCGTTGTTATAAAAGCAACCATAGCAATTTCTGGGAGACATGAACATGCTGATTGTAGTGAGGTAGAGGTTCAGCAGCCTAGCCTCCTTAGAAAACCCAAAGCTGGCAAAAACTCATAAGTTTACGTACTATACTAACATTTAGTCTAAACTCCCTACAGGGGGCTGTCTAGGGGATTCTATAGTGGAGTATTATAGGGGCGTATTGAGGGGGGTACTAGGAGTTTAGACCATAGCTCATATCCCCTATGTCATCCCACGCACCGCCTCGCAAGCGTTATTCTCAAGGCCGAGGTAGCCCGGGAGGGCTGGGGTAGCAAGCCTCTACAGCTCTCACACCACCCTAACCCCTATATAGCCCCTAAAGTACCCCAATTATAGCACCTATATTACCCCCATCAGAACCCCTAGATTACCCTCTATATAACCCCTAATATGACCCCTACATTACTCTTATGTTAAGCTGATTATAACACCTGTATGTAAAGTCTAGTGTAACTCCTGTATTACCCCCTATAACACCATGGACCTGTTTGACGGCCTAAATGCCCTGTGTGAATCACAGCAATGCCAAGATCTTTGGAAAGCTGTCCGAGAAGTTCAGACTCCGAACGTATCTCCAAGCTTGATATCGCAGAAAAGCTTAGACTTGCCTTGTAGATGCCAGAATAGGGGAATGACTCAAAGGGTAAAGGAGGGTTCCTCAAAACTCTCCCCCTTTCTACTTGCAATTATTGAAAAGCCCTGTGGCTTCTCACTACCTCGCCAGCCATGGCCAAGAACATGGACCGTGCCCACCGGCAGGTGGTCAAGGCGAGGCCCTGAGTTGTAAGGATTACTGAGCCGAAGTGTTCCCAGCCGTCCTTGAGTAAGATGGGATTTTGTTGGGATGTTTATGGACACTAATACGGTATAATAAACTAGGCTATAGTATATTATAGTCTCATATACTTTACTATAATATGTTATAATGCGGACAGTCTTAGTGTTAACAGCCAAGAGTACCCAAAAGTTCATGTCCTGGCTCTGCAAGAGATCCCAGCATTTGGATTCCTGAAGAGACCCGTGCAAGAGCGAGTATCTGAAGGCACTGGCCTGAGTCTCATTCCCCAACCCCTAAATGATTACTATTACTGTTATTATTGCTTTTATTACTATTATTACTATTGTTATTATTATTATTACTATTATTACTATTATTACCATTATTACTATTATTACAGTTGTTATTATTATCATTATGATTATTGCTATTATTACTGCGTGCAGGAGAAACTGGCCAACTTTGAGCTCCTCAAGGCCTTCGCATGACCAGTCTTCGGGTTGGGCTGGTTTGGAAGGCAGTCACGCTACAACCAGATGGGGATAATAATCATAATACTAATAATAGTAACAATTGTAATAATAGTAAGAATTGTAATGCTAGTAATATAAGTAGTAAGAGTAATACTAGCAATTTTACTAGCACCATCCCGTGCTCTTCTTGTAGCGGCTGGTTTGCACCGAATGGAGCTTTCACGAAGCCTGGAGGACCTTCCAATTGCGGCCAAGGAGGAACTGGTGAGTGTGGTTGAGCAGGCCCTGTGCGGCTTCGCCAGCCTTGTTTCCTGCTGGTTCTGAAGAACTTAAGCTGAAGAAAGGACACAAATTTGCAGACACAGCAATGCTGTAATTGCGCGTGCCTGTAGGATCCCCAATCTTAAGGGGTGGCTTCACACACAGAAGCCAGAAAAAATCGAGCTTGTATCAAATGATTTACTGTGGACATCCTTACAAGGCCTTGTGACCTGACTGCGCGGTGTCCCATGGGTTCAACAACCGGATCAGCTAGATATGTAAAGGAATCCAGAGCCATAATACAACATGAGTCCGTACACCATTGGCAAACGTCCCTCCAAGAAAAGCAACTGAGCTGCTGGGTATGAGCCTGGATGGCAGCTGGAGGTCCAATACCCAAAGGGTAGCGTGCTGTTCTACGAGGGCGAGTCCTCGTTTGACTTGTACTTGATTGTGAATGGCGAGGCACATGTTTGTTGCACTGCGCCAGAACCATGTCCTGCGTCCTGAGTCTTTGTGCAAGTAGTCCAGAGCTCTAGATCCGCAGAGTAGCGGAGCCATGTTCGGTTTTGCGGTCGGGCTTGCCGTTAATCCCGAATCGTTCTGATGGTTTATTGACAGTCCCTTAGCTGACGCAAGCAAGGGCCGAAAACCCAGAAGCATCATTAAGCAGTTTTGAGCAGTGTTACAGGTACCTTCAGAGGACCTGCGCATGATGTGTTGACTTGAGATTTCCTGATCTACTCGGTGCAGGTGAAGGTCCACAAGAAAGCGCCAGATGAGGGTGAGGTCTGGGCCCGGTGCTCGTTGATTTTAACTTAAATCCGCGTTGAAATGCATGGGGGTATTCAAAAGTATTTTGCCGACTTCCGAGTTCCTGTCAGGAGAAGCCTATTTTTCATGTGGATGGGATCTCATGTTGGCAACTAGCAAAGATCCAGTATGCCTCATGCAGAAACGCTGGCAGCGGATCTGGCCAGGGTGAGGAGGCTACGACAAGGCGGAAGTCTTTTCTGGAGGTGCGCGCCTGAATTGGTTCCTTTCCTTGACAGGCTTGTAAAGAGGCCTTTGAGGTTCTGAAGAGCTTTGAGGTATGAAGCGATGCCAACATAAAAGGCCCGCAGCTTCAGTATTACACAAACCACCCAGCCCTAGTGCTGAATGCCTTTCATCACGGCCTACAGGGCACCAGGCCACACGCCGCTGAAGACCAGCTGCATGGGGAAGAGAGAATGCAGGTCATGCAATCTAGCACTTGGAGTTTGGCTGACGCAGCCCTATGGCATATTCACGGGCTTCTGTTTAAGCACCCTGTTCTGACTCCTGATGTGTTCCCGCTGCGTCCACGACGCGTAGACAAGTGCTGCAAGTGCATTGTAGCTCAAATCGTATCGTAGTTTCCATAGATAAGGAGACCCAAATACTCTAATTCTGTTGGGGACCCCAACAAGGGATCCTTACTGTTTGGGAACCCCCATGTCAGAATTGAATTTCTGCATTGCCAGCTTGAGAGGACCAGCTCTCTTTTAAGCCAAGGCCCGTCGCCCCTCCAATCTCGCAGAGGAGGTGGTACATGCAGGTTTTGCCCCATAAGCCATCGGCTTCTCAAAACAGGGTTCCGCAGGGGTCCCTTGGAAAACCTCAGAAGCTTGTAGTGTAAGGATTCGAAGGGAATTTGAGGGATTCCTTTCAAAAAAAAGGGTGGCGATCATCTTGAGAGTGACTCAGTATTTCGCACAATCAGACCAAGAAGTTGCTCAAAAGGTTGATGCTCACCGGGTGCACTGCCAGTACGGAAACCCTTTTCTTCAAACAGTAGACCATCAAAGACCAACCCCCCCCAGACCTATGGTTTTGTTGCTAGGGGGGTGTTGGGAGATCGTTACTTGTAGCGGGAGGGAATGCTCTCACAACTCGTTTGTAGTTGGGTACTGTAGCATTTGGATCGCCATGAGGGTCAAAAACTGACAGCCTCAAGCCCCGCACTTCATGACGGCAGATCCTACATTGCTCAATCCCGGATTTTCTCGGATTTCATATCCTACATTCCCCGCATGACCCTCACCGGACCCCAACATCAGAACCCCCTTAGCGTTCATACTTAGACTGCCCAATAGCCTTGCAAACGAAGGAAGATTCCTGATCTCCCCATACGATCATGTAAATTTCGCTGTAACCTTTATGAAGGCCGCATAATTTTGAGCCGCCGCGCCTTGTGCAGGAGCCGTATGGCCCCTGTATCGGCACTAGCGGCGCTGGCCAGGCAGTCGGCCCCAAGCTTAGCTCTGCGTGGAAGTCTCGAGCTCACAATTGAATTTTTCTAAGTGCTACGGTGGCGAGAGGTCGGGCCGGCTTTCTTGCTATGGAAACGGCTGAAAGACAGTTTGACATTGATTGCCACCTTGCATTTGGAAAACATCGGCAAACCATGGGTCTTGTAGTATCCTGCACTTCATGGAGGGGGTTCAGAATCCAGTCCTTGCTCCACACATTCCGGGGTAGCATCCTGACAAATTCAATACTCCATGCTCTTATCTTCGTGCCAACCTCAATACGGGGTTGCATCGCGTAAGGCGTGGTGGCGCTGATGCAGAGCCAGCCCAGATCGGCTACCGCGCAGTGCTCGGAGCCCTGCGAGATGCTCCTGGTCAGCCAGGCTTTAGCTTGGCATTGGTCTGAACAGCGACAGGAGGTGAGGTTTTGTGTGGGGATGGTGATGGTGACAGCAGTGACGGCTTGCTTTTGTTTTTTGCGGTTGATCCATGTGTTCGGCTCAAATCGTTCAAAAGCTTGTCAAAGTCTCTATCACTTATCCGCTGGATTCAAGGTGAAATAGATTACCGTGAAGCTTCTATCCCTCCATACTCGGAGATACCTTCACCCCGCAAATTTGAAGACGAAGCGACGGTTCTTGCAGCGTTGCCAAAGCCCGTGTATAGTACACACGGCATTTTGGTTTCACCGTTATTACTTCTGTTACACACAAGCCTGAGCAGAATCCTGAAAGAATCGCTTGCAAATCAGATTCCTCTGGTGTAAGCTGCAGCTGGAACTCTCTTCCACCTATGTTCCGCAACCATCCGACCTTTGAACCCGGCCGAATGCCACGTACGATGGGTGCCCTGAAGATCTGAATCTCAAAGCCCAAGCCGCGCACAGGAAGCCAGACTTCGTGCGGCTCATCAAGGAGCCGATGAGCAGGGACTGGGTGGAGAAAGATCGGCTACTTGCACAAAACAGATGTCTGGAGCTGTACACGTCCTCACACCTAGCGGCCTGGTTTCTCATGTGGAGACACTTTTTTGTCGGATAACAAGGTATCATGGCGCAGGTTGTGTGTTGCTGAAGCAAGCCCCAGTGGAGTCCTACGCTCATATTATGATTTTGCAATCGCTTGTTAGGCCCGCATAGTCTGCGTTCATAGCACTGTAAATTCGAGTATGAATGGCATGAATACATATACCCAGGTTCCTACAGGATCACCTGGTTGGCATTCGGGAGCATGCGAAGAGCTTTGTGCCTATCACTGGCAAGCAACGCTCCCAGCAGGTTTGGGACTGGGCCCAGGGTGGAGTTTATGGCTTAGAGGCTTAGAGGGAAACCATCACAACTCATCACGACCATCTGAAAGGCATTGCGAAAGAATGCAACTTCCGCCCAGCAAGGCTTTGAATTTGCAGCATCACCACGGCCAAAAATCGACTCGTCTACATTAAATGCCTTGGCCCTTTGCCGGGTCTCCTCTCTGGTTCCACGCATACCGCTTCAGCCACGAGTCAGAAACCAAACGGCCCAAGGGACTTCCGACTAAACCGCATCCGAGGTCGCATGCGACGCACATGTTTGTCAAGAAGAAATACCCTCCTGGTCACATCTTCTTGCACGAGGACGGATTTGAGCTGAAACACTTAGCCGCTGCTGTTGTAAGCCCTAGCGTGTCTCTGAGAATTTGGAATATCAGAAAAAGCCTACAAACACTTCAATGTAGACGCTCAAGCCTTTTGGATGGATCCGCAGGGCCAGGTGCAGGAGGGAGCCCTCTACGTGGTCTTTCAGGGCTCGGTGGAGTTCTACCGGGCTGCCTCAGGCGGGAAGCTGTCGGCGTTGACTTGCGCCATCTCGTAGCTCTGCGCAGCAGCGCAGCAGGCACAGGTGCGAGGCTTCGGGAAGCGTGGAAGAATCCTGCCAGCTGCCCAGCTGCTCGGAGCTTCGATTGACAGGTGACAGTCTTGAGAAGATGCCTGCACCACCAGACCACTTTCGCCCGCGAGAGCCATCCAGAATTCTTTGCCAGTCGTGCCTAACGCAGCTGAGGTCATGGAGCAGCGGAAGCCGCTGGGTCTGCTGCAGCCCACGAGCGGTGGCATCCTTGCGCGCGAATACCGGCCGGACTCCGAGTGATGTTTGGAAGAACTGAGAGAAGAGAACGTATACCAACGCATGCTGCCTGTGCTATGTACTAAGATAAGATATTCATCAACAGGGCGCGTATGTGTATATATATATATACATACACATGCATATGCACATGCTTATACATACATATATATCTATGTATATATTTGAGGGCAGCAACCAAAAGAGAGAGGCATGGCAGGGCTTGGGTTTCTAGGACTTTTGCGGGAGCGCCTTGTGAGAGGTGTGTCTGGAGATTAGAGTCTGAGCTTGACAGCTAATCCCCCAGAAGTGCAGACCAAACCCAACCAGCACCTTAAGAGCTTTAGCAAAAACAGTTTCAAGGAATGGGTTGCTAGAATATGCTTGTCGTTTCTACAGGTATGAAATCTGCAGCCCCTGGGAGAGTCGAGTCCTGAAGCTAAGAATCTCAAAGCGGGGACCTTGCGAAACAAAGGACAACTCCCAGGGATGCTTGGTGTTAGTGTGCTGAAAGGCTTTGCGCAATGTTGTCGGGCGGCCTCTTCAGCTCTGCAAGTGTCATCGGCGCGGGAGAGAAATTGACGGAGGAGTTCTCCGTCGTTGCAGGCACTCTGCTGCTTGCACGTCTTTTCCTTGTTCACCGCTACTCTGAACATGCTGCTGCTGGTACTCCTGCTGATGCTCCTGCTATGCTACTATCCTTTCAGCGCCATGCCCAAAGTCTACAGTAGTGTTCGTATTTTACATTGAAAGGTGGCAGGGCGCAGTGCCCATGGCCAGGCTGTGCAAGGTTCAGTTTTGGGAGGCTGCAGGGCTTTAGGGACTTCGGACGAACGGCCTGGAGCAGATCCACGCAGATAATGAATCAACTCTTCCTACATGAGGTCTGGGATACTGCTTCAAATTTGAAAGTGCTTTTGCCCATGCTTTGTAAGTAGCTCCCTTTGTCATCCTTTGTCCCCGCAAGCACTTTGTCATGAATTGCTTGCTAGGGTCCAGCTTCCATGATGCAGGTCCCAAGGGCTGCGAAGTCTTCGAGTCCATCGGCGACAACTTTCAGAAGCTCCCTCTCAAGGCCTCAACTTGAAAGCAACACACAAAGCTAACAAGTGCTGCAGCAGTCGTAGTGACAACTTTGGGGTGATGGCCAAAGTTCAGCTCCATGATTCATGCCGGGCTCCCTTCTTGACTTCACCGAGGTTTGCATGCTTCAGGGGTGCAGAGGCGTTTCAGCAACATCGTTCAGGTGATGCGAGCAATTGAAATAACCTTTGCGAAGGTTCTTCGAACAGCAAGAGCCGGTTGTTGCCTGCCAGCCTCGGCAAGTTTGTCAGCTGTCCGCAGCCGACAGAACCTTCCAGCACAGGTGGCGTCCGCCGCGCGCGAGGTCCTGTCAAAGGTTGCGCAGAACCATCAAGAAAGGCCGGGTTGCGAAGCGAAGTGATTCTCGGTGACGGCAGGAACCGAATGCTGGACGCATGTTCCGATCGCACCCATCCAAAGATAGACTCATAACAGCTCGGGCATGTGAGACCTGTAGGATGACAAGACAAGGCAGCCTACAAGATCTCTGAACGTCTGCCAAAAAGCATATCCAGAGTCCTTGCGCGCATAACTGTCAGATATTCTCCGCAGAGCTGGTAGTATTTTGTGTATTCTGTGACCTGGCCAGCAGGTGAGCGAGCAAGCCAGCTAGTCAGCAAGCATGCAAGCCCGCTATGGCCACGATTTCTGGTTGTCATTGTTGATATTGTTATTGCATGTTATTGCTATTTGCAAGTTGGGTTTTGTTCTACAGTCCTGCTCATTGCCAGTAGCAGTGCACTTGTTCTGTGTTTTGCTGCGTTGAACATGCTGCGTTGAACAGGCCGCATTTAGACGGCCAGTGCTTGTTTCTTGCCATTATTGCTATCAGTTGAACGACTCGTGTAAGGTTTCGAGATTGAACAGTGTGTGTATGTGGGTTTCCATTCAGACCTAAAATCTGCAGAATGTAGCATTTGCGTGCTCCCTGAGCTTCTAAACATGCATCATGAACCGCCGCTGGCAGCTTCTGAAGAATTCCAAATGATGTGCTCAAGAGTGATTTGCGTCTCCCCAATTAAAAAGCATCTCCATGCTCCATCTTACACAACTTTTGGAGCTTCCACTCAATTCCAAGTTCTGCAGCTTCGTCCATGCTTTGCTGACAGGGGCGACCAGCACCCCACCTCAACACCCCCACTGTGTTTGACAGAAAGCACAGTGACAATGCCTTGAAGATCTGATCAAAGCTCAGCAAGAAGCTACAATGACATGTTCTCATCTTCATCCATGATGTGCGAATGGGGGTGGGTTGTGCCGTTCTCAATATCTCTCAACGCCTCTATTAGTACAGTAACAGCAGACATAATGCCCAAAATAACATGCCTCGCACATCTTCTCCAAACTCAGTGAGAAGCTGCATGTTCCGATCAGCGGCCATTTTTTCAATGCCCCCCCCACCACCCTGTAAAGCCAAATAACGCCTGACAAATCCTGCCAAGACTTATACAAGAGCAAGAGACTACGTTCTCATCTTCGCCCAGTTTTTGGAAAGGGGGGTCATGCACTCCTCGCCTTCCTCATCACAATGCCTGACATCCTAATCACAACTTGGCAAGACGATGCAAGTTAAGCCTAAACCCTAAAACCTTCTTTTTGCTCATGTCTTGCGCTCTCTCCAGCTCCCCTGTGAAAAGCGAACACAAAGACTGGCTAATCCTTTCAGGATCTCTCAGGACTCAGCAAGAACCTACAGAACATGTCGATCACTGTTTTATTGCCAATGCTGTTGCTAGAAAAAAGGCATTGCGATCAGAGCGCATGGGGATGCTGAACAGCCATGTGAGCCATAGTCTAAAAACCTAGTATCCCCCTTAGCCCTAGGATTTAGGGTTTAGGGTCTAAACTCCTAGCATCCCCTTAATAACCCCCATAGTGGTTCCCCACATAACCCCCTTTAAGGAGTTTGCATTCTGGCTCATGTGGCTGTATTCCCCCTCAAGTAGATAGCATATGGCTTCGGGTATTTTACAATAAGATCCCCATAGAACCCCTATTCTATCTACTCAAGGGGGACTATAGGCTAGGACACGGCCCAAGGATAAATCGCTGCAGATTTCACAGTTTTGTCTCCGATAAACTAGAACCTTCGAAGCGAAGGTAGGAATAGTGGTAACAATCTTAAGAATAATAGTAATAATAGTCATAGGAATACTTGCTAATTGTTTTCCTCGACAATTTCCCGTATACGAAAACCATATGTGTTCAATCCCTTTGGTATGTCAGGTGCGGGGTGCTTCTCGCGACGCTAGATGCAAGCTTTGAGGAGAATCCTGCCAAGTGCCTTGGCTAAAGAACCCCCAGGCTATAGGGAGAATGGAAAAGAACATGGAAACTAATAAAGTATTATAGAGTGTATATATACGGGGATTAAAAAGGGATAATGGAAAAGAAAACGGAAACCACTACTTCGGGTTTAGTGTTTACGCCTCTTGATCAGAAATTCTGATGGGTAGTAGTAATGCTGCCGTGATTTGTGCGCTTATCGTAGCTCGCAGTTTGATTGTCTTCTTCAGAACCCTCTTTTCATTTTGGCTTATGGATGGCCTCACTTGTGTAGTCACAGGCCAGTTGCGCTGTTCCTTGGGTAAGCAAGAGTTTACCTTGCCTTCAAGCTGCTAGGGACCAGCGGTAACCAGCCGAGTGCGCTGACAGATAAAGGCACATGCACATATAATGAGTTTTGCAGAGGGCCTCCAAGAAGCAAAAGTATGAATACCGGCCCGTGTTGCTCGATGCAGGGGTGCGCCGCTGCTAATTAGGTTGTTTGAAATCCGAGCGGGGGTGGGAGACCAAAGTGTGCAGCAGGCGGTATCAGGATGTCAGAAAGTTTCAGTATGAAATGTTTAACAACACTCTGTCTGAAACAAGACCTCTATATAATCCCTTGTTTTTTCTATCCTAGCCTATAATATTATAGTAGTTTCCATTTTCTTTTCCATCCCTGTATCACCCCTATCTTATTATTATCGTAGATACACCCCTAGTTACCATTTCATTTTCCATTTAATTCTCCATTATTGGTGTCATGTCCGTATATATCATCCCTATATAAATCCCATATTCTCAGGGCCTATAAAGATCTTATGCTTGGAGGCTGTGGAAGCGGACTATGGCATGGCAGGGCCGCGGACTTAGCATCCCTTACAGCAATTATAACATAGTGTAATATAGTATATTATAGTATATGATAACGTAGTAAAGTACAGTATATCATAGTATATTATTATCAGTACGCACAGCACTTCTGTACAGGCGCCCCAGTTCAGGGCGGTGGTGATGTAAACTTGGTCTAACATGGGGAAGGAAGATCATGCCAGTTCTGTTTGGGAAGCCAACAGAAACTCATGTCTAGAGGGACCTGATGGAAGCAGTCAAGATTGGCGTGCCGTGTGCGGAGGCTTGTTTACATAGACTTTAGGTAGCCTGTGATTTTATGCCTATCTAGACTGGTAGCGGTAGCGGCAGCACTGCATTTGCAGAGCCAGCAATCAAGAGGAAGCACAAGTGCTTTGGCAGTGCCGGTCGCCCAACTGTCAGCACCATGATGTATCGCAGCCCATCTAAGGTTAGTATTGCACACAGCTTTCTGAAGAAATTATGGGACCCGATTATTCCTGAAAGAGGTTATTCAGTCATAACATACGTGCTCACTGTCTGCCGCTTGAGAGTCTCCCACAGCTCATGATGGCCGATTCGCCTAGGCAACAAGCCTCAGCGGCGAGCCTCGCACACGCTCCAGCCTAAGTGAGCTACGTTCTTTTGAGTCCTAGAACTTTAGGTTTTTTGGGGGAGTGGCAGGGTAGGTGGCATGTTTTGGACACTCGGATAGGGACACTCCTGTTAGGTTATGATCTAGATGTTTAGCAGCAGGGGGAAGACCGTGCCTCGCCATTGTTCTCATAGCCAAAGCCCAAATTAGTAGTTTCAATTTTGTTGTCCATTATCCCTGTAGTATCCCTATATACCCTAATTTGGGGAAATCCTTAAATCTTGGGCACTGCCATTCTTAACATACGGTGCCTCACTTGAGAAGACGCTTCTCATTGGGCTGAAACTTCCAAACCTCTGCTAGATGAATTTGTACGGAACATGTCTACGCAATCATGACTGCCAAATTACAAGCCCAATATAGACTCTAAAATACTGATTATACTCTTTATTACCACGGTTGAAGTCCAGTGCCCATCTCATTTTCCATTTGATTCTCCAGCTGGTTCTCCATCATTGGGGCAATATGAAAAACCTAAACTACATGCAAGTGGCAAAATAGCAGTTTCCATTTTCGTTTCCAACATTATCCCCCCAAATCCCTTCATAACCCTCGTGCTCCTGGGCCGAGGAATCATCTCATCACTTCAAGCAAGATGCAGGCCGCGAGTCTCATCCCTGTACACAAGCAGATTCTTATCTTGGCGTTCGGGATCTCAAGCCATGGCGGCTGCCAGCCCACAACTCTAGAGGGACTTTACTGGGAACCCCAAACAAGAATATAGTAGGAATATACTACAAATGTACCTACCAGTGTTCTTATATTCTATTGAATTTCTACTATATTCTTGGGATTCCCTGGCTCGGTTCCCATTAAAGTCCCTTCCAAGCATATCCTAGAGCTCTCAAGCTTGTTGGACACATCTTCGGGCTCTCAAGCCGTGTGCTCTTCTCAGCATTCGGATGCTGCTTAATGTAGACACGGCCACAGCTGAAAGTAGGGTTTTGGGTTTAGGGGTTCAGGCACATTGGTTGTTGGTTCCAAGGTTAGAAGGCAGCTGGAAGAAGCGCCAGTAGCGCGAGGAGGTTACCTGATTGTTCATGTTCTGTGTGAAGCTTACTGCGCGTGGTGTCAACGGAACCCCAGGCTTATCAGGACCCATGGAAGTTGCTGTCGTTATCGCTCCTGATTTCTGGCGTTCTGCCTAGTACACCTTTTTGGCGTTAGATTGAGCAAACAAAGCGTGTCGTCCGTTTCCAAAGAATTAGCTGGCTTGCAGAGGGATGCCAGCTTTTGACATACAAACCTTTCGGGTGCCACAGAGGAGGAGCACTAATTAAGGCTTTTCAGCTTCTTTGAAGCTTAAGTCCTTGTAAGGAGTGTACCCTTGACGAGCAACCCATGTTTGCCAGGTTGGCTTGCCCAAAGCCGCAACGACTCAGCCACCACTCACCGCACGCACGCGCTAACAGCTTTCAGCCCCGGCCCCTGCTTGCAAGGAATGTGAGACGGCGGCTAAACATCCAGAAGTGGAGTTTGAAGAATAATGACGATAGAGCTAATGCTGAAGATGTGGGACACATCATGCTTTGAACGATATATGCAAGAGGTGTGACAACTTGAGCTAGGTATGATTGGCTTTGGGTTGAAGAATGGCAGAGTTCACAGCAAGAGCAACTCTGGTGGTGGTTTTTGCCATGGTTGCGATGGGTTCGCGCTCCTCAGCGTCAGACGATGTGATTCGCAATGACTCTCTCTCTTTCTCTCTCGCTCGCTTCAGAATCCAGACCCGTGCATGCAACAATGTTGAAGACAGAGGAACACTCGATCGTTTCGTGGCTCACCAAGGAAGTCCTGAATTCTGCTGTGACTGTTTTGAGAGCGCTCCAGCTTCAAAGCGGCCTGAAGTCAGAAGGTAGAGGAAAAACTATATTATACTTCTTGCTGCAGAAGCGTCAAGGTCCTTGGCACATACCTGTTTCAAGCAGGCAGATTGAACTGCAACTGCAACAGCTCCGTCACGCCAGCGACCGTGGGTGATAATCGTGGCATTACGAAGACACCGTCAATGAGCAGATCGCCACTACACGAGTTACCACACAATGTGCTCGTCGATGTACCTTGATCATTCTGCGTCACCCAGAGCCATACGCAAAGACTCCTTTGCCCCTCAAAACCGGGACCTCCTTCTGAGCCTTTGTGCCTTGATGCACTGAGGTCATGCGTTGACCGTTGGCGCCTGCGCAACAGTGTAAGAATTACGGGTGTAAGGAGTCTGTCAGTCAGAGCTCCAGCTTTGGCTTCCGGCAGCCGCTCGAATCAATCAATCTACGCTGCAAACCTCCGGAAGAGTTGTCTACCGTGCAAAGATCCGAGCTGCTGGGATAGACGCTGGCAACAGGCAATAATGTGAGCGCACTTGCCCTGATATGCACGCTTCCATTCCAAACAGGGAAGTAGGAAGTTCTGACTTGTGCCCTTGGGATACGTATCTTGAAATGGCTGAGAACTGGCTTGATGGTTTTGATTTGAAGCATCAGCATATTCAAATTCTCATGTTTCTTAGACAGCAAGGGATCCCCGGCAAAAAATGAAGTGTTTAAGCAAGTGCCCCCCCCCCTTCCCTCTGGTTGTGCTTCAATCCACCCTATGTAGTATCAGCACTGCCTGCCCAGCAAGCCAAAGTTAATTCACTTGAAGTGCTGGCATGCGTTGGAGACATTTTGCTTTTCATAGCTCCTCGGGCCGTCGATCGACACATTTCTGTTTGCTAGGGTCTCGACCAACTTGTTGAGCAAAAGTGCAAATTGGCAAAATCTGGCGAACCGGGAGCAGCAGCTCGCAGCATGCGAGAGCTTGCACACTGAGATAGATTGGCCAAGCTGAGCATGAAATGCTTTTTTCTGCGGCCAATCAACATGTAGAAATGTTTGAAGAGAACCCAGAGGATGACTCGGAATCGGATGGCTTTCGTACCTGATTTAAATATTCACTGTGTGCTACAAGTTACAATGACTACCAAGTGTGCCTTTGTGGCAGCTGTACTTTACAAAGGCCTCCAACCTCAAGCTCCCCAAACCTGGAGTTTTCCTGGGTGCTGGAAATGCCCCGGGTGCCCCAGATTGCAAGAGTGAGTTTCGAGCGTCGTCTCTGAGCATACATGCTCCTGTCTGGGAGTGTACTTGACAGCCGTACCTGTTGTGGCACCAGTCAACTCCACAGCAGGTCTCGGTCATACAGCGCCATGCCTGCAGTTCCCTTACATGCCAAGCATGTTTTGGAGGCTCTGCCAGCAGGCTGCTATGAGTGGGAGCTTCCCTTGCTGACTGGTTGGCACGCTTTCCAGACAGATCTTAGGACCAATCAGCAGAGCCTTCATGGTTGGCGGAGAGATCCCTCAAGATGTTCCATTGGGTTTGAAATCCAAGTTGGCTAAGAGTCTGCAAGGGAAGCCAACACATTACACGTGCTTGTGCTGTGGGGCGCCAATTTCCTGCCAGCACACTGGAAGTAGGGTCAGTAGCATCAATGAGCCTTCCAGACAAGACTTCTACCAAGATGCGTACCTTCATCGGCATATTGTCCTGGTCAGCTTCCTTGGTCGTGCTCCGGTAACATGTTTTTCGAATGGCGCGAAGCATGGAGCCCTTCAGCGCTCAGCCCTCACAAGCAGAGCGCCGATTTGACATGTCAGCTTTGATGTCAAAGGATGGGTTAGGGCCCAGATGCTGGTATCTCATCCTGACACGGGCGGCAACCGGCAAATGTGTGAAAAAACGTGTTGCCAGAATTGGTCCACTCCTCATGCCACTGCTGGGCATGCATTGCCTATGATGGGCTAGAATACGCAGCTCCCCAGTTAAACTCCACAGTAGTGTGCACGTTGCGTTGAGTTCTAGCCTTTCACCCTGCACTTCGCTTCATTTTGGGCTTCCAGGAAGGGCAGTTAGACTTGAAACCCCTCATACTGCCTCCACTCCTTCCTTCCATATCTTCCACCCAGGCCGCGGCCCCAGTTGTGGGCTCCAACTGGACCATCCCCGATCACTATGGTCATTTGACGAGTCAGTGGTGTCAATCCAATACCTTGCTGACCAGTGCTGACTTTAGGCTGTCAGGTTTCTGCTGAGCAATTCAAGAAGATGATAAGCAGCAGGGTATGGCAGACCCCTGGAGCCGGACGCCCATTCATGAAAGCCCATAATTCAGCAAGGTGTAATAAAGCTTCATGACGAATAGCGAACATCTATCCCTCATAGACGGGGATCCCGGACCCCCTGCCTGGAAACCCAGGTTGTGAGTGGGCCGGTTCGCGCGCTACGTCACCGTCTCCATCCATCTCCCAATCGGCAAGTCGCCGATGGCTTCGGGATCCCTGGCGCTCCGATTCATCTCCCTGCTGCTCAGGTCCAAAGCAACGTACACATTTTGCGCCTTTCGCTTGTTTCCTCCTTTAGGGTGCGGCAACTAAGACAATACAGTAGCGATGGCAATGATGATTGCATTGCGTGAGGAAGTCTTGAAGCTATAAAGTGGCGCAGGCGTTGACTTGATTGTGTTACCTGGGAACTCAGGCTTGCACTTGGATCATTCCTCGTGCTGCGCTAAGCTGGTTGAAAGATGTTTCAGTTTCATGAAAGATCATGCTTCATCCCTTCAAGATTATTTATTCACTCCGCCCTGCTGGCCTTTCAGGGCTGTTCCTGTAGATTCATCAATCACCAACCTTTCCGAGGTTACGGGTCATGTCTCGCGAAACCCACAACAAGCAACGTGAAAGTCTGTAGTGAGCTCCGTTCCAATCTGCGGCAGAAGTGAGAGCAGGTGCATGTCTTGGATGTGAAGGTATGGTGTTTCATGTCGCGTGTGGCTTCCGAAAACTGCACAGTTCAAAACCTAGCGCATTGCGCACGTTGAAAGTAGGGTTTTCTAGTGTGTGGAAATGAACAAGAAAGGGAGCCTCAGAAGATATTCGATGGTGCTTTTTGTTATGCGCAAACATGTTAGCGTCTACTCGTTTGAGTGTCAGAGATGGCCTTTGCTGCTCAGGCTTTAGCCACAGAATGTGGGACCCTCAGCATGTGGATTTATACCAGGGTGGTTCAACACAAATGTTGTGGAAAACCGACTGTCATTTGGCCCTCTCGCTCTCTCTCTCTGTCTGTCTCTCTCTCTCTCTCTACCCCCTATTCTGGTGCGGACTGGTCTGAGTGGTTGATATTGTGTTACGGGCAATTTCACCCCAATCCTCCTCAACTTTGAATGGAGATCTATGCCATGGAGTGCTTCCAAAACGTTTTCAATTGGCTCATGAAAGGCGAAGGGGTGGTTGGTAATTCTTACTACTGAGTGTACATGATATTGTTGTTCTTGTTTAGTTGCCTTGTTTTTGCTACTATTATTCTGATATTCGTTCCGGAGACCTGCCTTCCGCAGGCGTAGCCTTACGACACAACATGTCACTTAGCGAGTCTCAAGCACTGTGATTCTACTGATCATCTTCAAGATGACAACCTCGCCGCCGTACCCCTTAACAAAGCAAAGAGAAGGCCAAAGGACCCGAGGAGCCGATTGGAACCAGTTTCGTTTTGCCGCAATGAGGATGTTTTGTTTGTCTACTAACTGTTGTATTACATGCGCCGGGCTTTATGATATTGTTTGCAATCTTCGGTTTCACTGCAACCTCTCGAGACACAAGTCTGTGGGGGGGGGGCATTCATGCATGGGGAGGATAACCCCCCCCACTTCCCCGCACAAAAGCAAAGCAAAGAGAGAGGAAGTGTAGATATGGCCAATTATCCACGATGATCTACATGTTTCCTAGTGCAGTGGTTTGGGTGTCAGTATCAAAAGAATCGACAGGCGAAACGCGTGCCCAGTTGGCTTTTGATTGCTTGATTCGTGGATAGAGACCTGCAAAGCTGCAGGCGACACAGATCGCCTGGATGAAGAGGCCGCTGGGACTCTGCAGACAGAATTCCGAGGATTGTAGCCCATGCAGAATGCTCCATGTATCCGTTGAATTCTAGCTACCCAAGGAGGAGAAGGCACGAACAAAAGCTCAAAACAAATCCGAAGTGTCAGCCTTGCTTTGGTTTGAGGGTATGTGCCTGCGAGAAAACTGCCGACCTTCTTAAACAGTGCTGTCAAGGGAATGCAGGTGTTGAGCATTGCGTCATGCTGTCGGTGTACGCGATCAGGCTTATTTCCAAGGTGTTGTCTTGCCATTCTGACTGCTGCAGCGAGAGGGTGCCTCTGGAAATGGCTGCTCAACCTGGTGGACAGCAGAATATGGCTATAATGCTTCTTCTTGTGCCTTTTGTTCTTCATGTTGTCCTGTGCATCGTCCTCTCTGCCACAAGCAACAGGACCCGGCCCTGTGACTATACGTGCTCCTCATTATTGCATTTTGGCGCCGTTTCTGGACGAGTTGCTCTCAGGGGGAGTAGTCCTACAGCATCCTTCTAAC